CACGTTTTATATTTTCTGAGGTTCTAAAAGTGAGTAGTGTTAGGTGTTTTGACCGGGATTGGTGCTTTATCTAAGCGACTGCGGATATTGAAATAAAAAATATTTTTCAACTTTCAAGATGTTCTAATAACTGCTTCACCAATTTCAAACTTTCTTTTCAGATTTGGGATATCGCTCGTACTCCGGAAACTTTACGAACACCTGTATCAACGTTGGAATGCCTGCAGGGCAATTATATCCGATCATGCAAACTTACTGCAGACAGTACAAGCCTTATCGTTGGTGGTGAAGCTAACATAATCACGATATGGGATTTGCAGGTATGCCGATTATTTCATGTCATACTCTTCTTTTTTGTGCCTTATCTGTTCTGCTTTTTTTTGTCTTTCTCTAGTGACCAATATTCCCACAGATATACGCTGGTTTCTTTTCCACAAGACTGCGCTGACTCCCACGTGAATGATTTTCGATGCGAGCAGAACATGATGATGTCGACCCAATCTGATTAGTGGTGATGAGCGCAATCTGGTTCATCTTCCTCGCTTATCATGATTATAAGAAGTCGTTGCGCTACGTGAACATAAGAACTATTTCTAATGAGTCTCCGTGCGCGCCTCCACGCTGCGCACACGCGTCGGCGAGAAGAAAATTCTCCGACATACAAGTAATGATTAATGTGGGAGGCCCGTCAACGAGCCAATTTCAAGGCCAGCCTTTTCGCCATCAATTCTAAGAAATCGCGACTATTAACTAGCTTTCGCTTCGTTTCGTACGGGACCAGCTCATATTGACGACGATTCATTTCAGACGGGCACCATTCGCACAGAATTGGACAGCGAGTCGCAAGCTTGTTATGCTTTAGCATTATCGCATGATCACAAGTTGCTGTTTGCCTGCTGTGCTGATGGAAATATTGTTGTGTGGGATATCGAATCCAAAACCAAGGTACGACTTCAAGAATAGTACATGTCGCTGGTCACTCATCAGATGCCCGCAATAGGGCTGATTCGATTCCTTGTAGGTCACTTCGCTCCCGGGACATCAAGAGGGAGCCTCATGTATTGATCTCTCTTCGGACGGTTCTAAATTATGGACTGGAGGACTTGATAACACGGTGCGCACGTGGGATCTTCGAGAGCGGCGACAATTGAGTGTAGGTTTCGTCTCTAATTTATCTGACAACAGAGACTAATATATCCGGATCACACACAATTCCGGAGCAACCTTTTTTGGATTTTTAAGTGTTATTCGTATTTTTCGACAGGATTACCTTACCTATTGTTGGTAGTAAGCCCAACTATTAACTATATCTACATTTTTTCATAAATTACGTTAGTTTGGCTTTACGTGAATTTTCGCTTTTTGCAGCAGTTCGATTTCCCGAGTCAGATCTTCAGCTTAGGATGTTGTCCAACGGAGGATTGGGTTGCAGTGGGCATGGAAAATAATAATGTGGAGGTTGGTATTATTATCATAAATTTCTAATTGTGTTTATGTAGGCTGTAGACGTGTAGTAATTTATAACTGAAATACATCTACCCCTTGTCGCTTTCTTCGAGTTTGGAATGATAAAAGAAGAGAGCCACACTTGTCAGGCATTGTTCATGATCTTGCCTGAACCGGCAATGAAGGCAATGGAGCCAGACACAACATTTGCTCTGCCATACATCTGGCTGTCGTCGCCCATTATGTGTATCAGAACGGTTGAATCTCCTTCGCTGAAGTTGCTACTCCTTTGGAAGGAACCCTGGTATAGGGAGGACGTCATTGTTGCATTGGAGTAGCTGTGCTCCCCATCAGAGCGAAGTCCGCACGAGAAAACCTGCTGTGTGGAGCATCAGACTCTGGTGTTTCAGGTGCACAGTTCGTGAAGGTTTTTGCTCCCATTCGAAAGGGTTCGGAACTCTGCCAAAGATTCCCTCATCAACTGACCATGGAGCCCTGCGACGCGAGATCTTCTATAACTTGTTTTTTACTCCATCTGTACGCAATGGTTGAACAAAAGCGCTACTGGCGATGAGAAGAGACAACCACGCGTAGGAGCTCCACGGGATGGATCAAGCGAAAAAGGCAGAAGAACTTACAAATCCACCACAAAGCCATGCTTCGCCTTTGCCGAGCGTTTTCGAGGTAACCACAGCAAAGCTCTCTCGCTGCACCTATGGTGTCGGTCAAGTTTATTGTGATCAACGGGAGAGACTTATGGTGAGATTCAGCGGTTGAAGATGACCCCAGTGACCCCAGTGTCTCCCTCCGCTTGAAATCGCCAAGCAGTTGGGATGAGGCACCTACTCTTTGGCTGCTCTTTGGCAACAAGTCAGTGTTAAGTGAAGGTGCAGAAGATAGGTAGTGCTTGTGTTGAAATAAGCTTAGATTATGCTCAGGAAAGTGCAAGATGCACACGAACTTTTGGGACAATTTTATAGTTTTTTGAATTGTAGCTGAGAAGACTTTTCCTTGTATTTTACTTCATCGTTTTTTATTTTCTATTTTGCTTGTAGGTTCTGAACACAACTCGTACAGAGAAGTATCAGTTGCATCAACACGAATCATGTGTTCTGTCGCTCAAATTTGCTCACTCTGGTCGATGGTTTGTCTCGACGGGAAAGGTATGTTAGGTGTTGTATCTTTTTGAAAAAAGATCCTGAGGTGTTTTAGAAAGCCATAGAAGCTTTTATCTCGGAGAATATGCAGAGTTTATAATAATAATGCTGGAATGCAACGCGAACCATCTTGATATCTTTTTGTGAAAGGCATTCATATTTTGCATGGGTTGTCTGTGTGATTAATGTCCAATAAGAGGACGAACGGGGTGGTTGGTAGTAGTAGTAGTAGTGTGTATTCAGTTGCTGTCGCCCAGTATCATAGCATAGAAATATCAGAAGTTCTGTCTCCATTCTCTATTTGTCTTCGAAATCTAGAGCAGCGTTCGAAACCTAGAACAGGATCAGCTTAGCGTCTATTTTACTTCAACGCAATCAAGGCAATCCTTGCCCTGGCATCTTAAACAATATTGTCCTTCCTTGGATCGCTTTGACGTCGCTGTAGCCCGAGGATGGGCTTTATCGTCAGATATGCACCGAATTCGGGGCTGTTGGGAATCTTCTTCAGAAGGGTTCTATTGTGGGAACGAACGAATGACCATTGCAGAAAATGCTATTGTTTTTATGAGAATGTCTTTTTTTGCATCCTTCAGCAATTCAGTAAGCTAAGGCCAGCTTGGGCGCGAAGTGTTTAAAAAGTGTACTCGAAGTTTGCTTCTCCTCGTTTACGGATTTGCAGCTAGTTTTTGTAGTTCTTGGGAGATGTAAAGGATTCCGTGCTCTGCAGCTGGTGGTGGGAAAGGGTCAAAATTTCTCATTATCATTTGGCATTGAAGAGGCTTGGCTTAATCGGCTTTCCACCGCCGAGTCTCCAGGCTATATCAGATTTTTTGCAAAGTTGTTTATTGTGCAGGACAACGTGTTGAACGCATGGAGGACCCCGTATGGTGCATCTTTGTTACAAGCGAAGGAATCGTCGTCTGTGTTATCGTGTGATATAGCCAGTGACGACTCGCTGATTGTGACAGGATCAGGCGAGAAGAAGGCAACCGTCTACGAGGTGACTACATACACCTGAGCAGAGATCCCAATGAATACTTCTTTGGAGAGGCGGCTTTATTAAGGCCGTAGTAAGTTCAAAGTCCTTGGCATGTTCGTTCAAGGTTTACTTATCAATTCTTGTCATTCATGTTGGAGCCTCGTTGTTGATTGTTGGTGCGAGTACATCATGTAGCGTCAGAATTGATTGTGTATGCCCAATCTATTTCTTTTTCATCAGAAGTTCTTTTCCATGTTTCATACTTTATTATGATTTTTATGATAATTTAATTTGATGGTCTTCTTTTTATTGAGGTGAGTACATTGTTTTGGTTTCTTATGTATTCGATCCTCATCATCGTATCAATTGCCCTATTTGTAGCATTCCGCATTTCAGTATAGTATTTTTTATTCAGCTTGTAATCCATTGGTCTTTTTTTGGTTGACAAATTACATTTTTTTGTTCATTACTCTTTCTTGAAGTCGTATTTTAATGATGGTTTTACCGATTGGTTCAATCGATACGTGTTGCGGGCGCACTCCACGTGCTTATGATGATGATATATCGATTTATCCCTGTGCCGCATTCTCACTTCCGTTGTATCTCATTCTTTTCAAGCTTACGTCCAAAAAAGGAGTCACTGACATCGTCGTTTTCTCACTCGAAGTAATTGTTTCTAGCCAGTGTGTATGGCGGTTTTCCCTTTGAATTACTGCGGTCAATGTGATGGCGCGGAATGCTGACGATCGGCTCTGATTGCGGTGACGAGGATGGAACATCAATCTGGGCGTGGTTTGTGGTGCGTTCCGGTCGCACCAGCGGCTGCGAATCGTCCCGCAATCACCGCACTTGGTGTTCAATTGTTGTCGTTGTGATTGAAGTCGGCTGTCTTTTCAAAATGTCTCGCTGTGATGGTCATGAGATAAACTTAGCTGTGCACCTTTTGTAACCTTAATACAAATTTGAAATAGGTTGCTTTATGGTTAAAAAGAAGTCCACTGAAGTGTCGGTATGCAAAGTGTGGAGTTTGGTTGAATGTCTAAGGTACTATTGAGAGGATCATCCAGGGATAAATTGATCAGCAGAAAAAAATCCAAAAGAAGTTACAGATTGACCGCTGAGTTAGTGTCGCTTGAAAGTTGGAATATCCTTCTTTTCTCACCACAAGTCGGAAAAATTAAAGATTTTACGGGCGCGTTTAGCCGGTCATCCTAATCGTTTACTATCGCTATGCTTCGGACGATCTATACGCACATGCTCAACGCGAACTCAAACAAAGAGTCTGAGGCTCATGGGCATTCGAAAGTTCGAGTGTGGTGTGGTAGATGCTTATCGACTAGCCTCAACACTCTCGATCGTAACTGGTCACAGCGGCCGTCCTGAAAGGCCTTAGATCCCTGGTGCGACAATTCGTCCATGCAGCACGCATTTTGAGGCGATATCGCCCACGATCATTGGCACACACTTGGGAGAACTGAGTGGTTTGTCAGAATTTTGCGATGCTTGTCGCCTTCTTTCGTTGTTTAATATATTTTTAGGCGTTTCTTGAGTGTCGCTCGATTGAGAGAAATTCAAAGATGATGCAAGCGAACAATTAGTCCTTTTTGGACTACACCTTAGATGTAAATGCTGCGATTTCTCGGAAACACATATTCTTTGCGTGTTACGTCGACTAGAGAAGTTATGAATCGTGGTGGCCCAAGTCTTTGTAGCACTGCTATAATTAGGATGTGCGAAGCTAGGACAGAAAGCGACCTAACCCTAGGTCCAATGGTGATCGGGTGAACGCGAGGCTCCCAGCGAAGAAATTTTGCGTTCCGGAAAGCGCAAAGCTGCTTTATCCTAGCGGTCCACACCCGTAAAATTATCGGCACTATTCAACTATTACAACCCCAAAATCTCAAAATTTTGATTTTCGTCGAAACTTCGCCACATAGGGGTTATTCGATGCCCTGTTTACGAGATAATGACATTCATTTTCAACGTTGGCGCCATTGGCGCCAGGGCTATTTTCACCAAATTCGCTGTAAACTTGTATACAGGGGTTCTTCGGGGTCCTGATTACGAATATAACATCCATTTTGCCGCTTGCGCTATTTGGCCCCTATTTTCGACTCGTCTGCGCCCTCTCACTGATTAGCTCGCGATCAGGACTAAGCCTTTGGGGAGAGGAGTGCTCCGAGATGAGTAAATCACTCATCCTGTGATCTTATACGCTTCAACATTTGCCACACGTTGCCTGGTTCACCCACGTAGGAACGCCCCTCCTCCTAAGCTTAGTCCGAGGTAATATGTACAAGTGAGAGGAGCCCAAGAAAACGGGAAATATGCGTTGAATAGTGCAAATGCCAAAAACGAATGTCATATTCCGTAATCAGGACCCCAAATAACCCCTATATGCAAGTTTACAGCGAATTTGGTGAAAACACCCTTGGCGCCAGCGCCAAAAATGAACCTCATTTTCGTGATCAGGGCACCGAATTACCCCTATAGGCGAAGTTTCGACGAAAAATAAAATTTTGAGTTTTTGGGGTCGTAATAGTGAATAGTGCCTTATTCTCTTGAATGATATTTAACTAAGCTTAGTTCTTCAGAATACAAGGTGGCCCACAAGTTGCGGCAACAAGGCACGCATTCAAATCTAATACTAAACCCACAGGATTGGACTGTAGATTTTATTTATATTACTTAGATTTGATCTGGGAATGCTTTGAAATCCCCATGGAACTTCAAAGAAGACCTACATCGATAGAGTCTTGGACGCTGATTACAAATATGGACACTAAAACTGCTACGTGAACTTTGTAAGAAAGTTGTGAGCCTTAAAAGTTGCAAAAGAACGCTAATGATGAGGTGCAACCTATGTGGAAACACGGTTGCTTTTTGCCTGGAACTTGTTCTATAAGGGTAAATGGGTGCCCTGATTACGAATATGAGACTCGTTTTTGGCGCAGAGCCACGGCGACTGTGATTCCACCAGGTAAGCTCGCCTCAGTAACGTTTTTTGCCAACTTTGAAGGCTCATAACTTTCTTAGAAAGTTCACGTAGCAGTTTTAGTGTCCATATTTGTAATCAGCGTTCAAGACTCTATCAATAAACAATAAACAATAATACAATACATCTAGGTCTCCTTCCAAAGTTCCATGGGAAGTTCAAAGCATTTCCTGGTGAGTGGTTAGATTGGCGCTCACTCCATAATCTAACCATGTAAAATGCAATGATTACGGATTCGTCAAGCCTCACCTCTTCACGAAACAAGCAGTCATTTGCACCGTTAACTTGTTTGATAGTGCTACATGGGAATGACCCGAGTGTCCGGGAAGCTTCTGTCTACCACCATTACAATACTCATGCGGTGCTAAGACGGCCGGTTTGGATATGGGAGAAGGGCTATTAAAGGACGAATTCACGATGAAAAAGCAACCCATTTCAAATTAACCTAGGGGACTAAGAAGAAAGAACCATGAGAAACGGCCCAGAACCCGAGAAATGGTACCCCTTCCTTGCCCGTTGATTCGAGCATTGATGCGACTCTCATCGCTGTGCCCTCTTCAACACTACGCTCTCTCAGCTATCTAATCACTCGCCACGTATTGAACTACGGCGAGTGATCAGATGATCGGTGGGCGGAGATCGCCGGACCCGCCAGCTTTGAGGCATGATAGGTCGCCGAGGTCAAATTTTTCCATGCGAATTGCGCGTCAGTTCGCACCCTCAGGAGGTCCGTGGGTCCCTCAACTAGGTCAGTTTCCCTTTCTTCGACCTTCATTCTAATCGTGAATTCCTCCTTTAAGGTTATCGGCGCAATAGTAAACGAGGTGCGCGCGAATGTGATACAGAGTCCAGTGCGCTTAATCAGCTGGTGGAAGGTGAAAATGGGAAATTTTGCGTTTTGTCATGATCCTTCGTTTTCTATCAATATGGAGCCGTACAAGCATGGAACGTCCCAATTTCGACTGATGCGGCAAAATGGCAAGAGAGCAGCGGTGCAAGTTGATGCCTTCTCAATTTTGTAAGTAAGCCTTATTTCTGCAATCGGATTAATTATTGGAGAAAAGGTTTGTCAATCGATCCACATGATAGGACGCTAATCAGCAAGCCTGACTGTTTCCGAAAGCTTTGTTGGGTCCAGGATGATATGGCAAGACGTGATGGTTTCATATCGTGGTAAATCACATCGTGTGGTGTTCGTGAACTAAACTTCGCAAAAATTCCAAGCCAAACTCACGTTGAAACATGATGGACTAAAGAGAACGTTCGGCAGGATATCCTGAACACTTTAGCAATACAGAGCCCTGTGCCACAAGCAAAGATACGCGGAAAATTGGTGGCAAGCAGCTCTTACGTTGAAATCATGCGTTCCAACGGACAGACCAATCGTGGTTCGTTAAAGTTAAATTTGAGGAATCACTATGTGTGCGTATCCTGTAGACGAGAGCCTGCTACGCCTTATCAAGAAGAAGAGTTGAGTTGAAGAATTTGCTCAGGAAAAGCTCATACGCCTATCCACATGCCGTGGTCAGTGGGATTACCTAGGTGAGGGTCGCAGAACTTTTGAAAAAGTGCAAACGTGACGGTTCACCATGCTTGTTGGTTCTCCATTGGCTAGTCCGTCGCCCTAGTCTTTCCCCTCGGCAGCACTTGTCTCTTAGAGAGTCTTTATCCATTTTTCTTGACTTAGGGCCCACCGCTTTTTGTATCCGACCGTAACAAAACGCAGTCGAACATCGCCGATTTGCCTTTGACCAGCAGTTCCTCCCATGCCTGAAGTAAAGAAGAAGCACCCATGTTTTTGGGCCCCTAGTATGATCGTGTTGCGCCCATGCACACAATTTGAGCAAAATAGCATTTTTATGCATCTCTTTTGGCTTGTTCACGTCACATTGCTGTGAGAACGGTAGGACTGCGCAGTCTGCAACGCGTCTGCTTTGTTGTGGCGTCGGCTGTTATCACGTGAATGGTGCTTCCGTAGCTCATGATAGAAACAGTGTTCCAAGTCGATGTCCTCCGAGAATTGCAGCACGTCGATCAGTTTCGA